GTTTTCCAAGTATGTGTAAGTAATTATAGCCGTAGAAACAAACCAAAACCCTTAGCTCCACTCTGCTGCCAACCCCTCTCTGTCCCTTATGGCCAGCTCTTGGTGAGAGGCAGCCACCGGAGGCCATGCCATTTAGTGCCATCTGCTCTCCCTGAGGGGCAGCTGACAGGGTGTGTGGCCACGTCTGCTGATGTCCAGCCTTCAGCCTCATGGGGCTCCGCTGACCGCTGGTTCTTCACCTGGTTTTGGAATTTCTTGCTTCTTACCTCACCAGGTGTTTCCTAGCCTCTTTCACACCCCCCCTCCCCTTTTCTTCTCTGGGAGAGGGTCCCCAAGTGTGATCCCCTCACTAATCTTCTTCCATGTAGTGAGGCTCCCTAGGGCATCTCATTCTTTCTTTCCATTTCTCTCCCACCCCCCTGGGGTAGATATTTGTGAGCCTGACCCTTTAACTCTTCATCATTGGGTCAGGTCATCTCATGCTGCGTGCTCTTTTCAGGTGTCCTGGTTTGTTCCTATTGGCTGTGCTTCCCTCGAAATACTGCCGTCTGACTGATGTGTACTGGTGGGAGAGGCTAACACTAAAATGGAGCTCTTGCTGGAACTGGGCCATGGGGGGGTGCTCACCCCATCACTCTCCCCTCCTGCCACTAGTTGGTTCCTCAGGAAGCTCTGACTGCCAGGCGTACACTTTCCCGTGTCCATCATCTGAACACATCTAGAATGTGGAAGATCCTGCCTGCCCCCTCCCCTGCAGCGAAGACCCCTGCCCTGAGGTGCTCACATGGTCCCTGGCTCGCACTGAACTCGCCCTGCTCTGTTGCAGTTGGGCCATGCTGATGGCACGTGGCCCACAGCAGCAGGTGAAGGAGGAAAGGGCATAGTGCCCTCCCTTTGCAGCCGTCTCTGAACCTTCCCACCTCTCCCCTTCCTCCCGGCCATTTCTGTTCATTGGAGGATCTTCCTGTTAGTTACCTTCTCAGCCCGGCACCTAGGTGCTTTTTCAAGTGGCGTCGCAGGCTGGCACTCGGAGGAGCTAGCAACGTGTTAGTTTATAATGAGCAATAAAACTTTCACATTGGGGGAAAATGAGGTCAATGTACATTAAGAAAAATGTTGATTTCTTGGAAGGGAAATATATTTAGTTCACAAACATTTGGAAATGTTTAAGGAAATGGTGAGGTTTAATTTCAATAATACCATTAAAAAATACCTTTTATAGAACACTTTTCAGAGATTTTCATCCAGTGATGGTAATATAGAATAAAATGAATATATCCACATACTCCTGGTGGGTGTCTAACCTACTGCCCTTTTATATGGTAAAATGAGTGTCTCCATGTACTCCTGGTGGGCATCTCACCTACCGCCCTTTTATTTGGTAAAGTGAGTATCTCCATGTACTCCTAGTGGGCATCTAACCTAAGTGCACCCCTTTTATATGGTAAAATGAGTATCTTCATGTACTCCTTCCTGGTGGGCTCACCTACTGCCCTTTTATATAGTAAAATGAGAATCTCTATGTACTCCTGGTGGGCATCTCACCTACTGTGCCCTTTTGGAGTATGTCTAACACACTGGAGTCTAAAATTTTTATTCCCTTTGACTCCACAATTTTGTTCTTGAAATTTTAACCCACAGGAAGCTTCAGCATGAGAAATTTTCAGGTACAGAGATATGTCTTTGGTATTATTTATGCTCCTGTCACCAACAGTGACCACACACAGAAACGGCCTGTCTGACTGCATGGGAATGTCCAATAGGCTGTAGTCCACAGGCCCAGGCAAACAGTTTGAATCTGGTAAGAACATATGGAAAAGAGAAAAATTGTGTATCAAATGTCAAGTGGCAGTGGAGAGATAAAATGCCTTACATGGTGTATGGCTCACACAGCAAAGATTAGAAAGAAACTCAGGCTGACGTTCGTAGGCTTATATTCGGTCAATGGACAAATGAGAATTTTGTTTCCTCTTTTTCTTTTATATGAGCTCTAATGTCTTAGGAGAAATTTTTCATTAAAATAACTCAGAAAACAGAAATCTGTCTCTTTGGTAGACTCTAGATTTAGCAAAGAACAATGAACTGATAAAGGGTTCTAGCTCATTAATTTCATAAAAGTGAAAGGTTTCAGGAGAGAAAAGCAGGGGGCTATGCTTTGTTAATTAATATGATCAGTATTTGAGAGCAGGATTCAGGGCGTGGATTGTGAGTTCAAGTCCACACATGTCCCCATGTGTGTGACGTTGGAGAGGTTGTTGCAGTTTTTAATCTGCAGAGTGCACGGGGCAGCACACCTTGCTGGCCGGATTGAGTGTGCACATGGTGCTGGCCTGTAGGAGGCGCTCTAGCCACCGCACTGCTCCCGTGTCATCACCTCACCAAAGCTCAGCCCCAGAGCCAGGAGCTGCTCAGGGGTAAAGCGCTTGCTCTGCAAGCGTGCGGTCCTGAGTTCTGTTCCCAGCACCCACGTGAAAACTAGGTGTGGAGGTGCGCGTCTGTGACTGTAGCACTGCGGGGTGGTCTGGAGGCGGACAGGGGCCAAGAGTGTGCCAGCTGTGCAGTCTAACTGAAACAGCGGTGGAGACCTACAAAACAGTTGGGTGTGATGGCAGGCAGATCTCTGTGAGAGTTCAAGGCCAGCCTGGTCTACATAGCAGAGTTCCAGGCCAGTCAGTTACTCTGTCTTTAAGACAAACAACCATAAATAAGTGAAAAAGATAGAGTGCAATTAGAAGAAAATGCCTGAGTTTGACCTCTGACCTTCACATACATATACATGGCTGTGTACTCCCCAATCAACTTGGTAAGTCACTTGCTGGGTGACCTTGACAATTACTTGTGCAAGCCTTGTTTGGCTTTTTTGGTTTTTAGTTTGTAAAGTGGCAGCAGCAAACCACTTGCTTCCAGGTTATTGGGAGAATTTACTGAAGTCAAGCCAGAAGCTTGGTGACCATAACAAGTGCAGAGATGGAAAGGGGTATGGAGGGCTGATGTGATTGGTTCTGTTTTTCCATGGGTTTATTTTGAAGCATGAAGAAGTAGGGAAGTGAGCAGAGGTGGGAGAGCTGGCTGGAGGTGAGTAAGCCAACACGTGCTGAGGGTTTATTTCTGCCCTGACAGATTTGGGAGAAAGTCTGTGGTGTCCACAGCGGCTGTGGGTTCACTCTGCAGTGACTCATTGGAAGTCTGTGATGTCGTTGGTTTGTTTTTGTTCTTTATTCTTTGGGGGGCAGCCACCAATTCCCAAATAATTCACACAGAGGCTTATTCTTAATTACAAATGCTTGGCCTTAGCTTGGCTTGTTTCTAGCCAGCTTTCCTTAACTGATCCCATCTACCTTTTGCCTCTGGGCTTTTCCTGTTCTCTTACTTGTGTAAATCTTACTCTGTGGCTTGCTGTGTAGCTGGGTGGCTGGCCCCTGGAGTCCTCCTCCTTCTCTGGCTTTTTCTTCTCTCTTCCCAGATTTCTCCTCCTATATATTCTGCCTCTCAGCCCGGCCTATCTTTTCTCCTGTTTTTTGCCGTTGGCCATTCAGCTCTTTATTAGACCATCAAGTGTTCTAGACAGGCACAGTACCACAGCTTCACAGAGTTAAAAAAATGCAGCATAAACAAAAGTAACACACCTTGAAATCATATTCTGCCTCAGTGTGATGTAAGTAGAGAACCTGTCCTCATTCCTGCTGCCTGGCCCCTTCCCAGGCTTCCTACATGCCCATGCATGTGACCCCTCCGCTGCTCTAGACCCAGTTGTTCATGACTGGGGCTGGACAGTGGTGCTTTGCCTGCTAGGAATGCAGACTGTCATTACCCCAGGGTGGTGGAGCACTTGCATGTAAGATTTTGTATTTCCAACAAGTTCCCAGCTCATGGGCCACACTGAGTAGCAGGGTTCTAGAGTATTCTCAAGCTGGTCCTTTATATGGTTCTGTGTGCCCCCATTCAAGGAGTGGAAGACTAAGGACACTGTTTGTGCATCTTGAGGGAAGCTGCTTTAAGATACGCACCTTAATATAAATATGGCAAAGGTTTTGTGTTATGATGTGACCTGTTAAATCCACCAACCAGTGTTCAAAACTCTGAGGTACAATTTGAGAACATGGTATTCTAGAAAGTTGCTAAATGGCAGGCTGACTTGGAGTAGTAGGAGGGAGAAGAGATGCTCTTTTGGGGGAGTTTGAGATAGGTTTTCTCTCTGTAACTTTGGAGCCTGTTCTGGAACTCGCTCTGTAGACTAGGCTAGCCTTGAACTCACAGAGATCCCACTTGCCTCTGCCACCCGAGTGCTGATTAAAGGAGTTTGCCACCACCACCCAGCTGAAGAGATGCTTTTTGAGGGTTGAATGTCAGTGCATTGGCAGCTTATCATTTGGCATTTAGGAACCTCTTTTAAGCAGCAGTAGAATGCTGTCACCACAGTGCAGGTGAAAGTTCATGAGTCCTTCACTAAGATAGAGGAGGATGGACATAGGAGTCGTAGGGAACATGGAGTCAAATCTGCTACATGTGGCAGAAAATCGAGAGAAGAGAATGTAGGCTGGTGCTCACGTTGCTGACTCTTCAAACAGTTCACCTTGAGACTGTAGCAAAGGGAAGAACGTGGGACCTGTTTCACTTTGAAGGCTGCGCAGGTGGGTGTGAGATGTTTGTGGAACTGCCCAGTGGGTATTTAGGCAAAATTCTGGGGTTCCAGAGAGAATCCTAGCTGATGCTCCATGTGTTAGAAGCATGTGTTGAAAGTGTGGGTCACCTCTTCAGAGCCCTCCAAGTGAGAAGAGGTGAGCCCCAGACACAAGGCCACAACCAAAGAGCCCCCCCAGGAGCCTGGCAGGGAACATGTAGAGAACGGGCAGCTTGACTTTTGCTTCACTTTAAAACATGTGACAGTGATATCCAGATAAGGCCCCAGTGTTCGTGTCTGATGGCAGAGCGGAGCCCTGGGCTTTTTGTTACTCTTTGATGGCTGCCAGCTCACTGTTTCTGTCTGTGCGTTTTTAAAGGTCCTTAAGATTCTGGTCAGGGCAGTGGTTAATGGTCTGACCGATCGAAGTGGAGACGTTGCCTCCAGCCTCAAAGGCAAGCTGCAGGAGTTGTTTGGCAGAGTGACCTCAAGAGTGACCAACGATGGAGAAATCTGGAGGCTGTATGCCCAAGTACATGGAAACGGGCAGAGCGAGAAGCCTAATGAGAACGAGAAGGTCAGTGCTGGGCCTCTGTCTGTGCCGCCTCAGGTGGAGTAAGAGGTCTGCTTTTTTGTTTGGTTGGTTTTTTTGACTGAAGGATGAGATCAGTAATATGAAACAAAACTAATATGCTTAAATTCAGAGAGAGAGAGAGAGAGAACACGCATGTGTGTGCACATGACAGAGAACAACCTCAGGTATGTTTCTCAGGCACCATCCACCTTTATTGGACACAGAGTCTCCTACTGGCTTGGAATTTACCAAGAGAGCCCCAGGGAATCCCAAGGGTCCCCCTGTCTCTGCCTCCCCAGTGCTGGAATTACAAGTATGTGCTGCTATGTCTTTTTCTTTTCTTTTAAACACGGGGTTCTGGGGATTGGCCTCAGGTCCTTGTGCTCCAAGGCAAGTACTTTATTGACCTAGCCATCTCCCCAGCCTTCAAATTCAGTCTTAAGTACTTGGAATTATGGGCATGCTAAGACTTACAGCAGTCATTGTTTTCCGAGTCATGAGTTTTTTCTACTGCAGACGTTGTGTGTCCTGCAGAAGGTTCCCTGTCCTGCTGTCTCTCCTGGATCTGTAGCAGCCAGATGCCCCGTGCCCTTCACTTGCGTCCGTTTCCGCAGGCCAGTGGTTAAAGACCAAACAGAAAGTGTTTAGATCTGAGATGAGGCTACAAGAGCGAAAAATTAACTAAGGGGACAGAGCAGGAAATTGCAAGTGCGGACACATTGCAGGGGCACCCTGCCCTTCTTGCAAGGCAGTAGGTTGCTAATCCCACCCCAGTTATGCTGTTAACCTCTTGTCTCCAAGCCCAAAGGAGCCCAGAGTTTCCAAGGTTTGGATCATTGGTTTGTGTTTCTTTTCAACAGATCACAGCAAATCAAATGTACTCCTTGCGTGGGTTTGGAATTAGCCACGGTCCAGCTAATCTGTGGGATTCTTAGCTGTTCTCTCCTCCTCCTGTCCACACAGCTGGCTTCTGCCATAGCCTTGTCAGCCCACAGAACACATATCACAGGCCTGCATGCACACACTCCTATTTATGTCCTTCCATTTCTCCTGAAGTGTACTCTGGAGCACATAAAAGCACTCTTGTCTGTGGCTTCTTCATCAAGAATTTTTAAGATGAAACAAAAGAGCATTTAAACATCTGTGAGATTATATACTTGTTAGCCAGCCCATAATTTGCCCCAAGTTCATACCTTATTCTTTCACTGCATTTCCCAGCTTGGTGGCTGGAGGAAGTCTGCACACTGGCCTTCGTGTTTTCCTGGTTCTGGGAGAGCTGGCTGTCCAGATAACCTCCTTGGTTTCTCAAAGTTGTTGGTTGCTATTGCATGTGCATCCTACCCCTTCTTTGATGGTATTTACAGAGATGCCTCACAATACAGATGCTGGCTTTTCAGTTTGGAATTAGTTCCATATGACTTCCATATAAAACAATTTGAACTGTGAATTCTACTTGTTGTTTTGAATGTTGTTCATTCTGTTTTCCTAGGCATTCCAGTGTCTCTCGAAGGCCTACAAGTGTGACACACAGTCCAACTGTTGGGAGAAAGATGTTACAGCATTTAAGGAAGTTGTTCAAAGAGCCGTGGGACTCGCACATGGTATTTGATACCCATAGCGTATTTTAATGCATTCTTCACTGATAAAACAGTGCTAGTCAGAAATCAGGTTCCACTACAGGAACTTTCTGATTACCCCAGTATATTGTAATTGTTGTATTTAATTCAGAAACCTTCATAGAACTCCTGTTATGTAGTAGGCACTAGAGAAATAGGCACATGATAAAGATAACTCAGAGGCTTAAATGCTGCTTCAGTAATTGACAGTTAGAACCCCGAGAGTGTGAAATATTTTACTCCCAAGAATCTTTACTCCACACAGAGTCCTTGTTGATTATGTCATATTGAGGGAAATTGTTAGCATTTCCTTAATTGACAGAGGTGCCAGAAAAGACTCATCAAGCCGGGCGGTGGTGGCGCACGCCTTTAATCCCAGCACTCGGGAGGCAGAGGCAGGTGGATCTCTGTGAGTTTGAGGCCAGCCTGGTCTCTAAAGCGAGTTCCAAGAAAGGCGCAAAGCTCCACAGAGAAACCCTGTCTCAAAAAACCAAAAAAAAAAACCAAAAAAAAAAAAAAAAAAAAGACTCATCAAAACATGCAGATCTCTAGAGTGCTTACCATTCATTGTATTTTCATACATATATAAAAATACAAAATATAATATCTATAATTTGTTTGTTAGATATAGTTTAGACTTAAACCACTCTTACATTATCAAAAAGTACCAGCTAAATTCACTGCTGCATGTTATATTGATATTTGAGTGTGGGTGTGCTATGCACTGGGAATATAGTTCCCGTGAGTTAATAAAGTCCTGGCCCTGAGAACGGAGTCACAAGGACTGTGTCTCCTGACCGTGATAGTGACAGAAAATAGCCAGCAAAGGACAGTGAGAGGGCAGAACCAGGGACACTAAAGATCCAGAACCACGGTCATCACATGCTAGCTGGGTGACGCTGAGTCGGTGACCTAGTGTCTCTGGGCCTTTGGTTGGTTGTAGGTAGAATGGGAGAATACCTCCCTGTGCTGTTAGGAAGACTCAACAAGGTCTTTCCCGTATGTAATGGTGTCTTACACGTCGTTTAAATGTGGATCTCATCTCCCACCTCCCCACCCCCCACCTACCCCTCCGTTTCTCCTGAAGGAGAGGAGCTGGTCCATAAGGAACTCCAAAAGAGAAAATCGAGGGACGGGGATAAAGTTTAACTGCCTATAAAGAAGTCATAGACCGTTCAAATGGCTCGGAGTGGCTTAGTAGTTAATAATTCTACTCGTGGCCTCTCAGATCTTTGACTGGAGGAATGTAAATGTCCAGTTTCCCGGACCACCTAGCCCCTGGCAGATAAGGTAGAGGGGCTGAACTCTGTCTGGAAGGTAGAAAGTTGGAGGTGATTGCAGAATACGGCTGTTTTGGGGGTGCCTGCAGCTCTATGGCCTGTGCTGGCCTCGTGGTAGAAGAAGCCAGAGGGGGTTTGGTCCTTTGCCTTTGGCCTTTGTGGATGTGGTGTTATGTCTGGGGAGCCTCCACTCATGTGTATACTTAGCAGGGTGGGGTTTACTCGGAAGAATATCTTATTTTAACTTGCCCTCTCTAAACATCTCTTTGAGCAGCGAGCTCTGTGATGGTCGGACAGACGGAGACAGTTTCTGTAATCACCAAGTGCTGGCTTTACACCTGTCCACCGTAACTGTGCAGGCCAGAGAGGTTCTCTAGAAGACCTGCTGCTGGCAGCTCGGCAGGGCTTTAAACTGTTGTTGGTACCTTTTCTGTAGGGTGACTCCCGGGGAAGAACAAGTGTCTGTTCTCTGGGGTTTCCGTCTCGTACTTGCATGGGTTATGTGCTGCATTCCAACACTGCAAGCAGGGTTGCGTGGATGCTTTAAATTTATCCCAGTGACTCTTACCTTTGTTGCGTTGTACATTGTGCTCAGAGATTCAGCTGGGTTTCTGTTACTCCACCAACACTGTTCCTTCACACACACCCCTTTCAAAGGAAATACGGCACTTCATAAATCGTGGTGCCCTTGGATTGCCGAGGGTAAGTTTGCCATGGGCTTCGTTGGGCATGATAAGGACAACCCGGCAATCCTGGAGCCCTAGTGTCATTTGCAGCATCGGGAGGAGGGTCATTTCCAGTCTCCGCAGCCCCATCCCATCCCCCTCCCCTCCCCCTGCTGTCTCACCGCCTTTTGGGAGTGAGGTTGAGGTGGGAACTAGTAGAATGTGTGTCCTTTTTGTTTTCTTCAAATTGAGGGAAAAAATAACCAAAAACACTTTTTGTAAAAAAAATTTTTAAGACAGGGTCTCTCTCTCTCTCTCTCTCTCTCTCTCTCTTTCTCTCTTTCTCTCTCTCTCTCACTCACTCACTCTTACTCTCACTCTCTCTCACTCTCTCTCTCTCACCAGAGCTACCAGTGGTGTTTCTGGCATCAGCTCCTAGGCATTAAGCAAATGGTATGCCTCTGCTGTGGTTTTTCGACAACTCCTCCCTTCAGAGAAACAGTCCTCAGTATCTGATCGATTGGGCTCTATGAAAATGGGCTTCACATTGCTGATCAGTGTGCATCCAACATGAGAATATTGAAGTCTAATCATTATTCTGAAATAGAAACATCAAACCCAGTTCTTGCTGGCCACAGATCTTATTAATTCACGTCAAAGCTATTTTGTCAGGCCATAGGCTGTTTCTCCTGATTGCTTACAGTTTGCGCTGTGGTCTCTGACACTGTGGTTTTAAAATAGGATCTGCTTTTGAATTTAGTGAATATAATTTTTAAAAGTGTATTGTTTTATGTGTATGAATGTTTTTCTGCATATGTCAGTGCCCTACATGGTGAGTACAGCGCCTGCAGAGTCTAGAAGAGGGCATCACATCTCTTGGAACTGGGCTCTAGATGGTTGCAAACCACCGTCTGGGTGCTGGTAATGAAACCCAGGTCCTCTGAAGAGCAGCAAGTGCTCTTACCCCTGAGCCATCTCTCCTCAGCTCAGCTCGTGAATAATTTTAGAAAAGAAAAGCCAAAACAACAGAAAGATCCCGGACACCTGTTGGTGTGGAACCTTGTTCTTACAAGGCATTCACAGTCAGCCTTCCTCCAGGGAGGAGTATGCTCCCTTCAGAAGTCCAAGTCTTAGAGAAAGAGGCTCCACAGAATGCTTGGAGGCAGAGTTTCTAGGGTCAGGATATTTCCTGCTCAGTTGATGGCAGATGTGGCTCAGGAGCCTGGCCTTGGTCACAATCCCTAAATGAAGACATGTAGATTGTTGGTGCCAGTTTTCCCAGAGTGCCATGCATGATATTGGTGTATAAAAACGCAGCAAGCATTTGAGCTTGCCACATCTGGCATGTCACTTTGCTGGGCCAGTGAGATCTTCAAGGGTGAGTCCTCCTTAGTGACTGGGGACCATGGACAGCCACACTGAGATGTGCTGCATCTGTTTTGGTCCTCTGAGTATGCCTTGCTTTCAGTAAGGCTTTATTTGTGTGCCTAATTCACTAGTGCATGCATGTGAATGCATGCATATGTGTGTGGGATCCCAGCGTAATGTAACTCACCTGATCACACACATTTTCTTCAGAATTCTCCTTAGCAATGTTCTCCTATATAGAAGGATGAAGGCTAGCTGGAATGTAACTCAGTGGTAGAGGAGTACCTGCCCAGCATGCACAGGCCTGGGTTTGGCTTCCCAGTACCACCAAGGAGAGAAAGGGAAAGGGGGAGTTAAGGGAGTGAAACTTCTGACGTTGACTATTGCAAGTTCTTAGTAAGTGGCTGCTTTCGCACCCGCAGATGGTCAGGTCTCAGCGCATTCGTTCCCTGTGTTTTTCTTACAGTGGCTATAAAATGTAGTGAGAGCAAGTCCAGTCCTCAGGAAGCTGTGCAAGCACTCTCCTCAGTTCGGCTCAATATACGTGGTTTGTTGTCCAAAGCCAAGGTGAGAATGACCCGGGAGTTCATCAGAGCTGTTGGGCGGAAGGTCATCGGCCTCAGGTCACTCCTGTGTGAAAAAGGGTTGCTCTCGTTAGGCCCCAGTGGGTCATTCCAAAACGGAAAGAATTGCCTCCGCACATCTCCTTGGAAACACCTTTTGATTGTGATGGGGGCGGGTGTCTCTGGTTTTGTATTTGTAGTTTTGAACTGGGTTTGGTAACTGAATTACACTTTACAAAGTGAAAATGAGGAGAGAGCTGACCGTTAAAGCTTGAGGCAGTCTTGGTTTGCATGGGTCTGTCTTCTGTTGCCTGACTAGAGACTTCAGAAGTAAGCTGGAGAGCCCCCACCCCACACCTCCAATTAAACAAAGAACTGTCTTATCAATACAAATGCACACACAGAAACTGTGCATTTCTAGGAAATTTAAATAGACTCTCTCGCAGGTCATTCAGGCCACGTCCTCAGGACAGAGTGACTCCTCTATCCTCAACTCCTTGTCATTGTTGCTGCCAAGGTTGTCATGAGGGCTGTGGGTGGAGATGAGTCAGATTTGATGCTCAGCATATTGCTCATTCTTTCTAAGCCTCAGTTTCTCTCTGCTCCTCCTTACCTCATTGAGAAGGAATGCAGGTTCATTGTGATTTATAAGTACTGTGATTCCTATTGGAAATATGCTGTGTCTGTTCAGGTTCTTTGCCTAAAAGATGTATTTTCTACTCAGCACACCGTAGCAATATTTATGTCAGTCTATTAGGAAGTGCTGTTCAACAGTACAAATCTACTCAATTTGGATGAAAAAAAAATTTATAGCAAGCCAAATAAGTTATGTCACAGAGAGACACATGCCTGTTATATGCCATGTATGTGAACCTACCTCTCCTTCCTGTCCATGTCTGGTCGTAAAATCCTGAAGCTGATTTTCTTGGTTGCCTTTCCTGACTCACCAGACATGCAGAATAAATAGAATTTTATTTATTTATTTATTGTATAACATTGACAAAAGCAATCAACATTTAAGGCAGTTGCTTCAAGAACAAAGGAAGGCTTGAACCCAAGACTTTGGGCACTCTAGGCAAGTGCTCTACACTGAGCTGTAGTTGAGATCCCTTGCATCTGCAAGTTCAGGCTCACTGTTTGATTTGTTAACTGTTAGGCTTGTACCTTTCTGGGGTCTAAGCAAACACTGCCTTGCTGCTGCATTTTTACAGTAGCATCATGCCGACAGCTGGGATTCTAGTTTGCTGTGTTGACTCGACATTGTGTCTGGATTGCTTGGAAGACATTTTCATCTTTTGATGGTCATTCTGTTTTCACATTGCAGCAGAACTTTACAGATGTGGCAAGTGGAGAAGTCTCCGGAGAGCTAGCCAATGAAATAGCAGCTATGGATGCTCTGCAGGCCGAGCTGCAGGACCTCAGCAACCAGCTTCGAAACCAGTACTGACTGTGCTAGAAGCAGTTTGTGGCAAAGGCACCTTTGACTTCTTGATTCCCTCCAGTGCCTGTGTATCTGAAACACAAGATACGGATTTTTAAAATAAATTTGTTTGCTGGCAAACAGGCTTATTTTGTGATGTTCTCAGATGTTAGTAGTTCTGAAGTTCATTAAACAGAAATGTTGGTTGTACTCTTTGTCTGGTTATTGGTAAGTTCAGTGTTGGCGTTTTTGAGGCGCTCCAACACAAGGGGGCCAGCACAGGGATCCTCCTCGCTCAGCCTAGCATGAGTGCATCATTCTTTGGAAGAACTTAGTATAAATGGGGGGAGGGCGCAGATGCTACAAGCTTTGGAATCATTAGCTTGGCTACATTACTGTCCAAAAATGATAAAAGAGTGAACTTGGCAGTGGAATCACTTACACTTGTTGAGATTTTATGTCTGTGTCACAGGCATGGGCTTGTCTAAGTTGGAAGTGTGAGTGTGGTTTAATTTCCAGATCAAGAGAATGCAAGAAAAGAAATGATAGACCCAAATTAGGACTCCACAATTAGCCACTAGGAACCAGGCTGTTAGCTCTTTGTGGTATACACTGCCAGCCCCAAAGATGTTGTTTAATAAGCTTATTGTGGGTGAAGACAGCTACAAGTGGTGCCACATAACAAACACCAGAGTGAAGTGCTTTTCAGGAATGTTGGTGGAAACAATTACTGAAGGTGGCAGCTGAGTTTATAATCACAGAACGAAAGTCAAAGTGAGGGATTCTTAGGTTCCTGGCTTGAGTTGCTCAGTTTTGGGTCCTATGTGGTCCCTTGTATTCCATGTTCTTATTTATAAGATATAAATAATTTCTATTCCCAGTTTCTTTCTGATTTCAGCGATCTTTGGAATTTAACATTTTATGATCCATCAACATAAAGTAGTCTGAACACTTAAAATTCTTTCATAAATGGATTTTGCTTATGGCTGCTTACCAGTTCCAAACACTCTAGTCCCTTAACCATCTGCTTCTCTTTTCTGTTATCATACCAGCCTTCACAGGGGAAAAAATAGTCTGTCCTAAAGCTTCTCCTGTAAAAGACACTACTACTAAAAAAGTCCACTAAAATGAGGTGGTAACAGGAGTTATGATTTAGGGTCTAGTTAAATCTTGTAGGGAAGCCATTGAGGAGTGAGTGGATGGATGAACAGTAGGACAGATAGACAGGTGGACAGTTGATAGTGGGTGGCAATGGATGGGTGGAGCAAAGTTTTAAATTTTTGTTGGGAACCCCAGTAGGTAAAAGAGAAAGAAATGCCCCAAAGGACAAGGGTTTCGAAATCAGGTGGAAGACTGAAGCTCTCAATTTATTGTCCGTTGAGTTCAAGGTAGACGTGGACTCATGGCGGGAGCAGTCTTCCCCATAGCTGTACTGAGTCACAGTCTCTCTTTTGTCATGGGGTGTTTTCTCAAAGGAGAGCTTCCTTGAGGGGGTGTAGACCAAAGATAGAAACAGGAACAGCGCCTCTGTACCCATTGCCGGGGAGTCTCAGGGTTTTGTGTTCATCTCTTTTGGCTAGCTAGTGTATCCCCATGTGTCTTAGTTTTTGTAGCTTCCACTTTGGTTTTCTAGTATTAATGCCTTTTTTCAGAATCGTTCTTTTGCTTTGTCAACTACAAGAATAGGAAAGTTAGGATTCCAAAGTGTGGCTAACAGCAGCATCCATAAGACACTGGATGCTTATACCCCAGCTGTCACCTCTCACTCTCAGAGCCCTGTCAGGTCAGTTGGTGATATCTGCAGGATTCCCAGGGTCACAAGCTCTGGAAAGAGAAACGGACAGATTTCAGAGTTTTCCCTTCTGCATGTACCAGATCTCCCAATAATCTGTTGATATGTCTTCTCTCTTGAACAGTGGGACAGTTTGCCTCTCTTCACTCAAAGTTCTCCAAGGGAAATTCTGTGAGGTCTCAGTTGATAATAGCATATGGTTTGTTAGGATTGCTAATTAATAAATTCCTTGTCAGCCTCTTCCCAAATAGCATCGTAACTGAGTCCTTAAGTACAGAGGAGTGAAAATGATCTCCAGTGAATAAGGATCCTTTTCGGTACCCAAAGCCAAACCGTAGGATGCTTAGGGAGCTGCTGCTGAGTCTGGGAGGCGTGTGGAAGGCTCAAACTACAGAGCCCTATAGACTATCCTGGTCCATTTAAGGTTGGAGCTCTTGGTCCTACATCAGGTGAAGCCTCGTCGTGGTAGTGAGATCCCCAGATGCTGAGGGAAATGACTGACTTCATCGTGTATCCAGACCACTCTTGCCATGCTGCCTTGGTTTGTGTTCGATGTGCTGTTAGTACCATTCATTCACAGAAATGTGAAAGGAGTGATCCCACCTGTCTTCTAGACCTAGTTCAAGGATTGTGAGGTACCACAGGTCCAGCTAGCTGGGGCGATTCAGGATCACTTACCCAGTTTATACCACTAGTTCTAGTCTAGTTTAAAGCTGTAGTTGAGCCCGAGGGAAAGGGTTTGGTTTTCTTTTCCATTTTGTTTTTATAACATCCATGTCAGTCTAAATTGCTGTTTAGATAAGACAGCTCTGCTTTACCGGCCAAGAGTGAGGAGTCAAATCTGCTAAGTGGATGCCACACCCTTCCTTTCTGCCTGTTCATTCAGCAGGCCCTGGAGTGAAATGGCAGAGCCTTTATTCCGATGGAGTGTGCCATGCTGTGGAAATACAGCCGGATTTCTCACAACATGCAGAAGGGCTTATAAATAGATAAATTTCAATCAACACGTAGCTTATTCGGGCATGTGCTCAAATATAGCAGCTGCATTCATTAGACAGACATTTCCACTAATCCCAAGACTATACTAATAAAAGCGTAATCCCTGTGGGCTGAAGGCAGCCTCAGTCTTTCACAGCCAAGGCCTAATAATAATCGTGGCTGTGTGTGTGCTCTCCACCAAGTGAACTTAAAAGCTGAGTTTATCTTGAAGTGTTTCCTTTGTGTTTTCAGTTTGCAGTAGTTGAAGTGTGTGGCTCGCAGCGAAGCCATTTAAAAGCCGTGTGTGTGGTTGTATGTGCGTCCTTGTCACTTGGTCATGACGCGCTTTCTCCTCTTCCTGTTTGACAGTGTTTTGTTCCCGTAGTCTGTCTGAGTTTTTCCTTTGACCTTAGGATAAACAAGTCCATCCATCCTGTGACTCCTTGTGTCACGTCATAGTTTGACGTTCTATGGACGATTTCTCGCCCCCGCTTCAGGCTTGGCTTTTTGAAGCCCAGGTCGTTCAGAGCTAGCCGTAATTAGTTCACTTAACACAACACCCAAAAAATTTCCCCTTGCCAGTGACGTCAGACCTGCCTTCCTTTTTATTATTCTGACTTATAAACCGCGGTGACCTGTGAGTCACCCTCGCCATCTCCTGGCCCCGTGCCCACATTGTGATCTATGAAAAGGGAATCCTGCCAAGGGCTACAAGGCGGAAAACTGATATTATTAAATGGTCTTCTGAACAGTAACTCTCAGCCATTTTTTAATCTTTTGTGATGTTATTGCCAGAAAGGGGGTGGGGAAGGTAAATCATGGCAACGTGAAGGAGCTAACCCACGCATTGCTAACTTTTTCCAGACTAGGGGCTCAAATGAGTATCAGTGTCTGTAGACATGTAGGATTATTACACAATGCTGCTTACACCCCAACATGTGCTTTCTGAGGGCTCTTCTTGCCATAAGCTCAGAGACTCAATCTCCCGGGCCTGCGTCCTTAGACATAGCCTGTTAGTGACTGATACTGTGTAGTGGTAATAACACCAGTCAAGAAAGATGCGTGCATAAGGCTTTGGAAATGAAGATATGCAATAGAAAAACAGCACAAATAAACCATTTGATGATAATCACTGGCGCTACCTTGCTCTTCCCCACTTGGGATCTCTGTGACATCTAGCGCCCCTGGGCCCTGGCACCAGAGTGTTCTTCAGATTTCCTTCTCTGGCAAGCTTCCCCTGTTTCTGGGGAAGGATCAATAGAGTATGATGGGTTTTTATTAGGTAAAGGAAGAAGAGAACTAAGTTAGCAAGTTAGAGAAGGATAGGGAGAGGTGGTAGGGATGGATGACTAGAAGTCAGAAGAGAGACTGAGAAGGACTGGGGAGGAGGTCAGGAGGAGGGAGGCTGCAGGCCAGAGAAGAGAAGGGGGTTTGGATGGGCAAAGCCAGGCGTCGCCTGTGGGACAGTGCCATCCACAATGCAGGACCCGTTAGGTGAAGTGGGTACTTGACTGCCTGGAGTTAACTAGACTGAAACCCCAGGTTTATCACTTCCTAGCTGTGACCACCTCTGAGCCCCTGAACCTCTCTGAGCCCCGATTTCCTGAGCTATGAAATGCAGATCTCTACCCTTGCAGGCCAGACAGAATCGTCCAGATGACTCGTGTGAAGTTCTCCGTGAGCAATGAGATAGGTAATTCTCAGTGTGATCAAGAGAAAGGGGCATTGTCGATGATCTGTCAGTTCTCAGGGGCTGTGAAGTCCCCAGGTGGGTGCAATCAGCATCCCTGGCTCCAGTTTCTGTAATCCCTAGTTGGGGGGAGGGGTCATAACCCCGTATTTTGAGAAGCAATGGTGCGGAATATCTCAGTTGTCTGTGTGCCTTCAACACCGCTTATTGAAATCATCGGCCTCCACCGTGAAGTCTGGTGCCAGGGCTGATAAAGCAGTCTTCGTAATTCTACAGCTGCTTGGCCAGAGACACACACACACTGCTCCCCATCTTCCTCTCTTTCCTTCCTTCCTCTCTCCTCTCTTAACCCCTCCCACGCTTTCTGGACCCTTTCTCCCTAACAAGCCCCCCACCCAACTTCTATGTCTTTGTTTGTTTTAATGACCCACTGAGTTTAATTAGGGTTACCTGCAAGTACATGGGTTCAAGGTTATTTACTGGAGCGTGGGCAACAGTGGCTGCCTGTGCCACTGGAGAAGATGACTCCCTGTCACCCAGCAGCCATTAACTATGGTAGCTCCCCAGAGAGGGTGGGGCCTCTGAGCCCCTCCCATACACCATGCTGGGAGGTTGACAGAGAAAATTGTTTAGAAGATTGGACTGCATTCAAGTTAGAAGTTGTTTAAAGACATGACAAGGAGCCAGGTGTGGTAACACATTCCTATAATCCCAGCTCTCAGGAGGCTGAAGCAGGGGGATTGGATGTTT